ATTTCTAAGCATGGCCCATCACTTCATTATTTAATATAATGGTGGCTATTTTTCTCTGTATCGTTCTAACCACACTCATATAATTCAGTGAACAGAGATTAATTTATTCTCCAGCATTTGTAGTTCTGTTTACTCATGGCTGTGAATATCACACTTCTAATACTAGTTCTCTTATATTATTTGTCACTGTCCTCTGCTGCTTCTGAGGTCTCCTTCTGCTGAGATGCTTTTCTGAATAGCAGATTAAAATCTGCTTGCCCAGTGGATAGGTTAGGAAATGTGGCATCAATATACTTTTGAAAAGCTTGTCTTGTTGCTTGTATTTCAATTTCCAGGGTGTCCTTCCAATCTATCATCTTCTTCAGTTTTTGCATGAGTGTCTTTACCTGTTGTTCTGCTGTTTTCAGGTAACCATCACTTTTTTCCAGCTCATCAAGATATAGTCTCTGCTTCTTTGAGCTGTTTTTCATTGTCAATCTGATTATCTTTTTGTGTGACACTCAGGGCAATATTAATGTCATGACATTTGTCTTTGTTTAATTGCTCTATATTCTTATGATACAGTTCCTCAGCTAACATATGTTCTTCTCTGAGTTGCTCTAAGTGTTTTCGATTTAAAAAAAAAAATAATGTAGGGAACACCTGTTAGCAAAGATTATTTAAAAAACAATTTAAGTCTATTCAGGTTGTTGTAAAACCTCCCTTATTCAACTATAAATATACATGAAATCAGAACTTGATGTAGGACCTCTGAAACAAAATAGGGTAAAAGAAGGCCACTGATGACGCAGAGAAAGGCAGCTGCAGAAGATTCTATTTCTGCATGTGTTGCATCCAGTGATATAATTTAATGATGCTTGCTTCCAAAGGAAAGATATAAAGGATTACTGTTTCACTCTTCATTCAGGTCTCTCTTTGAGCTAGCACTTAAGTACATGCTGATTTTCAAATAGGCTTTGAACAAGACTGTCCCTAAGTAAAAATGCTGTCTTGAAGTGAAATCTAAGAACTGATTTCTATACTACAGATTCATCTGTAATTTTGTTTAAGTGGTACTAAGAACATCTTTGTGCTAGTGTGTCAGTAATAAAACATATAATTTATATTATGTAGTCAAAACATTATGGGTGCTATTCACCAGAGTGGCTCAGGGACATGTAAAGAACAGTGCATTAGGCATCCATTAAGGTTACTGAGCCAAATAATTCAATGCAGAGAAAAAAAATTCTGCCCTCTGTTATTGCTTCCTCCACTTTGCTGGAGATGTATTTGCAGAACTCTGCTAACATGAGAAGTTAAAGAGACCAGCTAAGTTTATGTGGAATGTGATTAATCTTTGTCAGAAAGGGCATGTTTTAATAGTGAAAATGAAAGTATTAAATAATGGATCAAAACTTAAAGTGTGACTCTTTAAAAAAAACCCAAAACAAAACAACTTACAAAGGAACATACCTGAACTGATCTTTTCATTGTGATAGTGTTATTTTGTTGTTTGTGCTGTCAAAAAATGAAATGTATTCTACTCTTAAGGGAGAGGGGTATGTTATTATTTTGACTTCCAAGCTGTTTAATTCACAATGCTTAATCTGTATGGGTAGAATATCCTGTACCCTGCAGATCTCCATATGAACACATCTTTTTCAGTTTTACGTAGATGTCATGAATGGCACAGTGGGCCCCTGAGATCTTTATTTCTGGTAACTCTAAGTCAGCCATAAAAAACAAAACTTTTGGATCCTTGCTTGGCTTTGTGATACTTGCTTTTAGGAATAAAATACATATGAGGCAGCGAGAGAGAGTGAACCTGTAACTCTTGCTGGTCCTTAACATTTCCAAAAACATTTTTTTCTGAAGGGTGCATTGATCTTTTCCTAGAATACCCGCATCTGAGCAATGCTGATGCAAATCTGGTTATTTTCTTTAGCACAGCATGTTTTCCAGCCAAGTCAGGAGAAACTCTAAGAGCACCTGTGCTGCCTGGCTGCTTCCTTCAGGGCTGCCTTCCTCCCCTGTCCTGGGCACACTCCATGAGGATGCACTGAAGTCTGAGCCATGCACTGCTTGGCAGCTTCAGCCTCTCTCTTCTGCTCATCCTGCATGTACTGCTGCATCTCTCCCTTTACCTTCCTCACCTCTTCCTTAAGCAAAGTTAAAAGTAGACCTAAGTAGTGACCACAGCTTATTGCTCAGTTGTCTTTAAACAATCTCCAGCAAAGCCCAGCAGAACAGACTTCAGGAAAATATTACAGGGCAATTACAGTGACTTACTGTAGCACCATTCCACATCATCCATGTTTTCTACATGTCACACAAGGTTCCCTGATGTATTTTCTTCACAAGCTCACATGGCCAGTGGAATATTTTAGAGTGAGATGGAGAAGAAGCCTGGTCCTTGGTATCCTTGTCAGCAAGATATTGCTTAGGCTGATACATAAAGATATGACAACACTAAGCTGATCTGGATGGACATACACACATTTGGAATCTCAGACAACTCTGTATATACCAATATAGCTCTGTTGTCATTACAGTCAATGCCAAACCTGACCATCCAGTAAAGCACCCACTTAACTCGGTGCCCAGTGATCTATGCTGCATTGCCACTATTCGTAGTTCTTTCCAAGACCCGACAAGTGCATTCTCTGCAGAAGTTACAAAACACTATTGGGAAAGCTCTGGCTGCTTAGATCTTGGTGGGTTTCCTAACACAGGATGAGCAGAGTTACATGGGGTCTACTGTAAATCTCTTGCACACCCATGTACAAGCTTTCTATTCTGTGTATTTTTGTGGAGACTGGTTGTTTGTCTACTGCTGGCAAACGGAGTAACAGGACCTGCCTACAAAAAGCCTAACTAAAACCATCTGACCATTAGTGGTTGTGGAACAGCCACATCAGCACTGCTGCAAGAAGACATACCCGAGGCTATCAGCTGAAAGCAGTTGTCTTTGACGTATCCTCTACGTAAAAACCCACTTCAATCACTCATTCAGTGATATGTTTTGTTGGCTGCTACTATCTGTTTGCTTAGACAGATGCTGAGTACATTTTCTGCCACCACCTCTTCAAGCTAACTGCCAGTGAGCAGTTAGCTCACTGCTAACACACCTCTTAAGATGAACTGCAAGAAACACAAACCACCAAATTTAAACCATCTTGCAATTATCGTAGTTATATCTGCATCTTCTTTTGTTCCAGCTGTAGAATTCTGTATCTGCTCCCTAGTCCTTAGTCACTGGAGCCAGTGTTACCAGGACAAATGGTACATGTTCAAATCCTGAGCACTCATTTCTATGAAGACATATAATAGGCTTATGGCAAGTAATTGAATGGTTAAACACAAGAAACAGAGCTTCTGCCAACTATTGTTGGCAGATGCTATGACAGCAAAAGACAGAGCTCCCTTGGAAAACAGATCCATAAAATGGAATGCACTCTGTCGGAAACTTAAGACCACTGTAAACCTCCCTGCTTTTCCTCTTGAGATGCCAAGCACATTGCTTTGACTGCCTGCAGTATAAACAGATAGCTATTTAGAAACTTGTATAAAATAAAATTCCAAAGCAAAACAAGCCAGCAATTCTCTGTGCGCCCTTCATCCGCTGGTGGGAGGCTGCAAGACTAAAGATGACAGGTGTTAGACAGACTGTGTAATGCCTGACTGAGGAGTACTTGGTAAAAGTAATGGTAAAAAATGGTAAAAAGCCCTGTGAAGTGCAGAAAGCAGGAGGGCTCTGATCCAAAAGGCAGATATCTCTGAGTCTTTTCTCAGATATCCAATCAGCCATGTAAAGCATGTGTTAAGCATATATAGAAATTCAAAGCTACAGTTGCTGTGTTTCATTTAGGAATATACATACACTGACAGTTTTCCTTCTCCTCCACCCCACTTAGGATCCAGGTTTAGTAAATCAGCTTTCTAGCTTTGATGGACACAAAATTTTAGGACAGATACAAAATTAAGCCTATATTTAACTGCCCTTAAGAAATGCACCTAATCAGATTCAGTGGCTGGCTGAATCAAGGCATGAGGAGGAATTTTCAAAGTCCAAAAACTTCTTCAGTAAAAAAAGAAAAAAATGAAATGTGCTGAAAGTGAATTAAAAATTCAGCTAGCTCAAGCTCACATCTCATCTAGCACATAGACGAAGCCAGTCATCTTTCAGGCCAAGTACTTCTCCTGGCACCAGAGTTCAAACCTCAGATGAATTAAGGTCCTGGTTATGGTAAACATGAAAAAAACCCTTTTTTTTTTTTTAACCTAGAGTGACATTCGTGGTTGCCAGACACATGGTTCTGCCACATTGGCTATTTCCCCAGTAATGAAAGCAAATCTGTTCATACCCTTCATTTCTTTCCAAGTTTTTGTTTAAGGTCTTGTACAAATGCACGGTGGTTAGCAGCTGCCTCTTTGAGAGCTTTATCCACTGCATCTTGCATCTGCATTTTAGTCTTTAAAACAAGTTATAATTTAAGTATAGCTGCTGGCATTACATTAGCAATCTATTAAGATGATGTGGAGGTTACATAATCATTCTGTGTTTTCTATTTAAGAATCAGAGCAAGTTACATTTAAAACCAGATGGCAACATACCTTTTGGCCCATTTGGCAATTTTATTGCAGTGATTCCTGTTAAATGTGGCCATTGAGCCACCATAGTTTTAACAGTATATATATATAAACATAGATATATAAAGGACTGTTTCAGAATCTTACATAGCACTATGGGGAACAGGTTTAACAATCAATAACTTCTGCATGCTTTAGGGGCCATTTTCAAACCAGATGTAAAATTTGTTATTAACTGAAAGTATGCTTTGTTGTGATCAAAAACTGGAGAAAAATGTGCACACAGAAATCTGTGAACAAAGTAGGACCTGAAATATAATGATAGCTCTATAGCACTGACCTCAAAAGTTCTTTATTAACTGTCTTTATGCTACAGCAATTAGTCCTAAGAATATTAATCATTTAAATGACAGGAGCATAATTTAATTTACCTGAGACCAAAGTTCAGCTCTCATTTTTTCAGTGTGCTCTTGTATCTCTGCCTCCTTCTTTTCATGTTGTTGTCTGTCTGCTCCAAACTCTGCACAATCAACACGAGCAGATCATGCACAGCAAACAACCAGAGCGCAGAAACCTGTGCCTCTTCCCCGACCCTTTTGCTTGGCTCCGCAGCTGAATTAAAAATCAAAAGGCTAGAAAGCACACACCCTTATTTCACATACGGGAAAACACTTATTATTGCTGGCGTAGTTCCATAAATGTAATAGGAAGGTGCTGAACGCAACTCTCACCTTCTAGGCAAGGCTGCACAATGGGAGAGCATCATGGGTGTCCCTCCTTACTCCTTGTGCTGGCAGCCATCCACATGGCACAAGCAATACGTCACTCCTCAGCTTTCTTGGGAATGATCAACCTGTTTCTGTCTGTGAATGAACCTCACAGCTGCTCAGGGGACAGCTTTGCTCCCTTTAGATACTACAGGTGAGATGGTGACCTCTTTGGCTCCCTGTGCCCTCAGAGTCCTCCAAGGCTTTCAGCAAGGTCCTTCCTTCATGCCACTCTTGGGACACACAATAAATATTCTCAGGGGGATATGGCAGAATATTTCAGGTGTTTGGAACAGAGCAATCCTTCTGTCTCTAGGGCTGCTGTGTCTGTCCATGGCCCAAGCAGCCCCAGTGCTGCAGGAACACAGCTAACCCTTTCTAAAAGGAGCGAAGCAGTATGGAGGTGAGCCACATTGCTTCACAGGGCCTAGGCCAGGGAGCCTTTAGCAACATGGATGGGGTCTAAGTAAGATGTCAACATCACCATCTCCTCCTGGGAACATGCTGTGAAAGCAAACAGGTAGCCCTGACAACTCATTTGAAAGGCTGGTCTTCAGCACCAAGGATTGCCCAGAAGAGAAGACACTGCAGAGGGAGGTGGATAAAGATGCCTTCCTGCAACCCCAAACTCCCCCCCAAAGTGGGATTTCAGATCTTTCCCCTCTGCCTTTCCTACTCAGTGCAAGCCTGGGTGGGTATTGCTTTGGATCCCATTCTCTGTGCTTGACAGGGCCTAGAGCCTGTGCTTGACAGGAGTAGAGCCACCAGAGATCTAGCTTTCACACAGCCACTGGAGGATTAAGTCTCCCTCTTTCAGTCCAGCCTTCTTCCCCACTCCACACGGGTGGGCAGAGTCCTCTCATGGAGCTAACACAAAGTACATGGAAAACAGCAGCAGGATGGGACAAAGGGGTTAACTGATTTAAATCAGCAAAACAGAAGTCCAACAGTGCATAAATTTTAGCAACAAGCATGTTATGCTCTGATGGCATAGTTCCCTCAGTCCATTATAGTAAGCAGTAAAGAGAAAATAATTTTAAAAGAAACTGTCTCTGGCCTTCTGAGCAGTGTTTTACAGTGTGTGTGTCAACGCAGGGCTGGAACCTCCTGTTCTGAGACATGCACAGCACTCACCCTGCTGCCGGGGTCCTCAGTACAGATAATCTCTTGATATTGTTTAAAATAGAAACCAAGCATGCTCCTCTTCACGATGCACATTAATTACAATGCACAACATGATTTCTACAAAACTTCACACTGCTGATTAGAAACCTCTGTGACAATTAGGCATAGCATATATTGCTCACTCAAACATATGAATGCTACCATACGCTTTGCTTCATTGTTGAGGTTGATTGTGGTATGCCAGAAAAAAAAAAAAATAAAAAAAATTCAAAGCTCAAGAGGCTCTATAGAGCCTCAGTCTAAGGTCAACAGCCAGAATCAGGTGTAAGAAGGTAGGATTCAGGATAAAACATTGCAGCTGTGTCCTGTTGAAGGATGAGGGGATGATCTCTGCGAATGTTAAGTCAAGCATAGTTCTTCCTAAGCTACTGGAGCCTTAGAAAACATTTGCTAATTGTCTTGCAGCTAATTCTCTCTTGCACTTCATTATGCCCAAGTCTCAATGCCTTCATGTGCCACAGGATGTCTGACCCTGCCCCCCCTCTGAATATACTCGGTTTATTAATATTCAGAAGGTAAGTGCAGTTCTTTCTTACCAAGATGTGAACGCCTTCATGACTGTCAAGAACAGATGGATACAACAGCTCTTGGAGTTTTCCTAAATCTCAGATTGTGAGGAAAGCATTTCAGAAACAAACTTACCTAGTATATTACAATGAGTGCAATAATGTGTTCTGAAAGGCAATCCAACCAAAAGTAGTGCTGGAAGGTGGTGGCGGCATTATTTTTGAACATACAGCACAACAAACAAAGGACTCCAGATGGGGATTACAGTCATTGTGGTATTCTAGTGTTTTTCTGTAATAGAGTTACTAAGATGTCAGAACTCATATTCTTGATAGATCTCTTGCTTGCAGGCAAAGCACTTACTGTTGCTACAGAAAACATGCAAGCCGGTGAAGAGAGAAAAATCATTGACCATTACTTTTTACCAAGTTAGCTGAAACATTTGTTTTCAGATTAGGATTCACACATGCTGACAACTTGGTAACAGGCTGCAGGGAGATGATGACGGAGGGTTGCATGAAATGACCCCTTCCAGCCTTAATCCAGCTCCCTGTGTAGCAACTGTTACTGGGCAGGGCTGGCTTTGCTCACAAAGAACTAACTTTCCTGGTTAGTAGTTTAGTAGTGACAGCGGGCTTTAGCTTTTTAATGCATTTTTTGTTGTGGTTGAACGTCAACAATTCCTACTGAAACCATGTAGTCTAAGGAGATTTGAGGAACAGTACAATAGCTACTGTTTCAGATATCTGAATCACAGGATTTTGTTGCTGTTCTTAGTAAAGATGTGAAACCCAGCACAGACAATTGGCAAAAACCTGAAAGAGCCTTTGCCCAGGAAATCATTTTGACTTACAGCTGCTGTCAAGCCAGCTGTCATCCACTGTAGATAATTACTACGACTTTGAAGATTAAATTGATAAAAGCAGAACAAAACAAATTGTATTGGTGCTGTTTGCCTACCCTCCAAACACATAGCTGTGCTTTCAGAGTTGAGTGAACAAATTTTGTTACCGATGTAGTTTTGTCTGGTGTTTGTTTTGTTCTTTTTTTTCTCCCTTTAATCCCTAAACACACGAAGTTTTTATGATATAAATCAGGTACTTAAAACAGCAAATGCCAGTATCGATACTGTAACACCCATGAGTTTACTACATTTTTCTCTGTATTTGCACTGCTTTATCTCCTTTTTACATATCATTTTTGTAGCGTTAAAAGTTACCTGTACAACAGCTGCCATAAATAAATATGGAGAAGCTCCTTAATAATAAGAACATCACTAAATACTCTGCCTTTAACCTGGGCAGTTCTAAATTAACCTGGCTAACCGGACTCAACTCCAGCCAACAGATAAGAGGCCCCATCTCATACAGGTTTTCTACTGAGTGCCACTGGCATGCACATCGCCCAGATCCTGCCCGGGTCAGTCCCACACCTTTACCCTTAACCATTCCCCCCAGTCCCACTTCCTTTCCCCCCAGTAACATCCAGAACCATATTCACTTCACAAAATATAATCCAAAATTTTGATAACTCAAATCCTGCGTTATTCTCAAACATGTGAAAATGAGAGACTGGGCTTTCTCACTTCAAATCACCTGCAGGTATAAGTATCAAAGTGTATATTTTAAAAACCTCCAGGAAAATAAGTTAAAATGCTTTGTGTAGCACTGATTTTGGAAAAAATCAGTTAAATTCATGCAAACATGTAAGATTCGTGCATGAACTGAAGAGAGCTTAAATCCTGTGTGACCCTTTTTAAAGAACAGACTAGTTCCTAAAGATCCATCACATCCTATCAAACAAAACATATACTACAGGATATACACAGCATGTAATAGCTCTGAATATCTCATCAATTCACCTCGAAATTCCTTCACCAGTCAAAAGGCAGGTAGTATCCTCACCTGCAAGTTTTCAGATTTGCCCAGGTTCTTACTGTTGTGAGGCAGCTAAGGCTCAGAGGGGAATATGTCTTTAAAGGCTGTAAAAATGTTTTTTTTATATAGCTTTATTGAAGATAGAGCTCACTTCCCTTCTCAGGAATGAGGTAGGCAAACCAAGGCCCAGCTGAATTTAGGATATAGGTAACTATAAAACACACACAAGACAACAATCACAGGTTCAAGGCAAAGGTTTCAGAGGGAAATGCAGAGAAATCCCATAGAGCAACTGCTGTCCCTCAAGGCAGTAGATCATATTTTTTGTCTTCAGTAGCAAAATCCTTCAATTACAAAACCCAAAGCAATTCCCAGAGTGGCAAAGCAGAGGTCCCTGCATGTGGCTGCTTCTTTGGCCTGACAGAAGCCACCTCGGGTAGGAGAGGGTTAATAAAGAGCTCTCTCAGCTTCTTGAGAACCCTTGATGGGCCTGTAAACATGAGGAACTGCACGGAAAAATGCCACCAGAACGTTAATGAGGGTCTGTAGTGGAAAAAGGGGCATGGCCTGATGTGTACTCTCCCACATGTTCTGGAGTCTGGTTAAGAGGATACCGTCTGGGCAATGTCACACAGAGGCAGCTGGAGAAGCTCACAGAAGGCCTCAGTGATAGAAAACACCCACTTGTACAGCTTGCTCAAGGTAAAGGCTCACAGGGGAGCACCTCCTGAGCTAAGGAAACACCGCAACGCCCGCCCTCCAGCCGCACCTGCCAGCTACTGCCGAGAGTCCGCCTCCAACCCACACGTGGGGCTCTTCAGCAAGACTGGGCTTATGAAGGTGGATACATTTTTTGGTCTGTCCGTAAGAACCTGTAGATTTTAGACTTTACATTCCTTATTTTGAGTTCACTAATCTGTAATAAATTATGTCATGTACTTTACAATATAAATTTAATTTTTGAATGCAGCTTAAATAAACAGGTCCTGCTGACCAGTCAAGAATGCTACACAACCTCTGGCTAACCTGGAGTTACACATATCGACTGGCAAGCTGATAGTGGTATGTTCACTGATCTGCTATATGATGCCAAACAGGAAAGGTAATGGCTGAGGTTCTCCTGCCCTCCTCTTGGCAGAAGCACTCATGTGTCACTTTTTCTCCTCTATCTAGTTAACAGATTTATTTTTTTTTTCCATTTGTAAGGTAGAGTGTATGAGCATCCAAAGATTATTTTGGCCAGTGTTTTACAAATTCCTTTATTCCACGACTGCTTTATCAGATCTTTCTTGCCTTAAAATTATTTTACTTGTGCCACTGTTAATTATCAACTTTCAACAGATCAACTTTTTCTTTGTACACACAATACATTGTACCTTCTGTTTAAAAAATATGAACCTGTGTTTGTACTTAATCAAAGCAGAGAGAGAAGTGAGCTATCATGTGAATTTCTAAGGCATTTACCAGTGCTGACTGCACCTCTGAGTTAATTGCCTATCTTCTGACATACCGTGGAGATCGCAGACAACAATTCTTAAAATTCGTATGTATCTTAATTGCAATTTAATTGTACAGGCACAGCATTTTATAAAGCAACTTTTATTGGATTGAATAGTAAGAGAGACATTTATCCATTATTTCAATGGACAGAGGAAAAAATAGTAGTTGCCTTGAAAAGTTCTGTGACTGATTTGCTGATTTCCTTCCTCATGTTCTCAGTCCCACTTGGAAGTTTTCCTCCTCATATACCTGGACCCCTCACTGTCGACTGCTTCATAGAGTTCCTTTTTATTCTCTACTGTTGCATGCAAATAACCAAGGTAGGCCACACAGAGGGTAATTGCTACTAGTCCAAATGCCATCACAGGTTTGTTCTGACAAGAAAAAAAAATTAGTATGTGTTTTTAGTCAAAACATTTTTCATTCAACACAAACATTACATTCTTCTATCTTAGCTTAGAAAGTGAACTGTAGATTATTGTGCAAAAAAATGTATCTGCAAAAATAATCACTGCCTTCTTGCAGACTGTTCCAAATTACTTTGATAAGCAGCAAGAAAGGAGACTCGATTTTCTGATAGCAAAAGGAATCCCCTTTCAAAAAGAAGACTCTTTGCAGAGACGGAACACTGCATTGCCCAGTGGTCTGCCTATTGCTGGTTGCAAATGCTGCTTGAGCATGAATGAACAGGCCAAAACCAATTGCTAAAGGGAACTACTACAAACTTCTAACAGAATTCATCTGGATATACTACAATGCACTGTGCTCCTGCCAAGCAACATTCATTATGTTTCTCTAAAACATATCATGTATTATCACAAAATCTAATACTGGCTATTATTATAGAACCAAAATTTCACCCAGTCTTGCTGGGTTCTGCAAGTGTAAATAAAACCTAAGTACCATCAACTTAATAATTAAGAAAGAAAAAGAAAAATCAAAAATACTGAAAAGCTGCTAAAAATCCCCTCCTTTCATATCAAAAAGCTTGCATTTTATGATTTGTTCCCTTTTAAATATTAAAGAGGACTTCTATTACTTCACCTGTCAAATTACATGGGTAATATGCCTGTAAAGAGTCTTTCAGAAAAGTGGCTTGGCTAGGTACTAAAGAATCAGACAATGTAACAGTGAAATAAAGCCTGGAATAAACCATGTAATGTTCTGGGCTCCTAATAATCAGAGTGGAAAAAAAGTAAAAATATTTTTAGTTACATTACTGAGTGGTTTGCATAATAAGAGTTGGTTATATAATGCACACAGAATTGTGATGACTATTTTAAAGCAACTGTGTCTCTCCAAACATATTTAGTTTCTCTCAGAATGAGCCTCTTACGGGTTTAATGAAAAGCTCTGGGTTCACAGCTCGGAAGAGCATAGTTGTCTGAACACTCCTCAGTCCTGGTTTTCTCTCTTTGGGCGTTTCATTTTCATTTGGAGGTTTGATGGAAGACATTTGAATTATTGTTGAATACTTCCTAAAAACAGAATGAAAAATAGATGTCATTTTTTAAAAAACTGAAAGAATTCACTGAACATGAGTTCACCCTAACCATGTCTTCTTACAGCATGGATTTTTGTGTATGTATTAATGATTGCTATTGGTGTTACCTAATATTCCCAGTTTAAGCACACTGATTTCCCATCTTGTCAATTTTGTGCATCCTAAAATTAACTTTTGGAGATGCACATCTCTGTAAAGCAAATGCAAGACTTCTGATAATGGGCTTGGAGATTTTTACTTGCCTTTGGCTAATGCTTTAGCTACCTGTGGACTGAGTAGCAGTCTTCAGACCACTGCTAAAAAGACAATGCCAGGGATTTTTATTTTTTTTTTAAGCCTTACATGTGATAGGAGAGCTCATGCCCCACTGTCATGCTGTCACTCTATCAACCCACCCCAGCAGCCCTGACTCAGGTCTCACTTTTACACACGAGGGACAGGTCACCTGCAAGATGCCACCTGAGCCAAGGCAAGCAAAACACGCCCTTGGTTAACCCCGCTTGCTGAGGGGCAGAGGACACGCGGTGCAAAGAACTCCTGCCCCGTAGTTTACACAAGAGGAGCACCAACAGGGACAGGAATCACCCACTCGACCCAGCAATGGCCCCGGGCCTCCTACGGCGGGAGGTCAGGGCAGCATGGAGGCCGGGTGACACGGGCACAAGGCACGGCCACGCACGGGGTGGCAGGGCGGGAGGCTGGCACACCGCCAGACCGTGCGTCGGGCCCAACCACCCAGCCTGGCTCGCCGGTACCGACCCCCGAGCAGCTCAAGCGGCGAGGCCAAGGGCAGAAACCTCCCCCCGGCCGGCCAGGGGGCTCCTGACGTCGCTACCGCCACTAACCCGGGGACGAAGGGGGCCGTTTCCCAGAGAAGCAGCGCGGCGGGGAGGTAACGCACAAGGTCAAGCCGCCGCCATGCTCCAACGCCGCCTGAGGC